CGATTTCTGAGCGGATCCAGAGCTAACTAATCAGGTGTCGCGAATTTTTCTCACGAGCACGTCTCATGCTCAGCCTTCGCAAGTAACACGCGTGATGAATGTAACACGATTCTCTGGCGGCTAGATCGATACCTTGAGGCTAATAATAACTTGGGAGGTATTGCACTTGGAGCTGGATTCGGTATTTTTCGTTCCCGCGGGATTTCCATTGTTTCATGTTCTGTCTACTTTATGTGTACTTGCTGAAGCTGTGACAAAATGTTTTCAACGAAAGTGTCAAGAAAACATGTTTACACTTATTTTTTTCTGCTCAGGAAATGGAGCTTTTTAATCCTGATGAAATACAGAACACCATCCACTTGGATTCCTGCGGAAATGAGCTGTTATTGATTTTAACAAACAATTCCTCTTTCTTGTCTGCCAAGTGAATGAAAAATAATTCCTCCATACCTTTTTTAGAAATTTGCGTGCTCGGCGATGAAGTGAACGTAACGAAGATACGAAGATGTTAAGAAAGCATACTTGTATTGATTGTTAAATTCTTTTATTCCAACCTTATTCTAAGAATCAAGACCTTGTCGACTACAAAAATATGCCTCTTGTACACTATAACTGAATAACCGGTAAATCAAGTTGTGAAATCACGTGTTCTTTAGAAACAGAACAAACTGTAAAACGCGTTACTAACTAAATTGCGTAACAGATACGCGTGACGGTTCGTGAATGTTTTTGACAGATACTTTGGACAGCGATTAGGAATTTTATGTCTTGACAATAGTAAATTAACCTCTCGTTTACTTTTTAAACGTGCTTCATTCTGTAAATAGTATTCAAAAAATAATTATTCCTGTTTTATTCTATTTCGCAAAAATTGTATACCTAGACCCCACGTTTCCCCCGACCACTTTACGATGGAAGACTTGAACATGAGCTCGCCTACAGTTAATTGGATTATTACTAGACTCATAGATTATTCTTAGAAATACGGATATTAAACATTTTACCCAAACGAAATTGCAATTCTTATTTATTAGTCTTGTTTTACTTAACCCCAAGTTTAGGTTCATCTTAAACAGCTTGAAAATACTTGCCTTTTTCAAGATATTTCGACAGAAGAAAGTTAAATTATCGTGACAGTCTCGCACCCCAGCTGGGAGCTGAACACTCTGCACAATGAGCCTTCGTAATTATACAAATAAGTCTACGTTACGCGATGAGCGAAATGAAATAAATCTAGAGACCAGCAGATGGACGCAAACCGAGCTAAATGGCCTAAAGGTCAGCCCAGAAAACTTTACAAGATGCAAACGAACAACCGAGGCGGAGTAAGTTTATTTCTATTCAAAACAAAGTCGTATTTCTTAGGTTGAGAGTGAAACCGTTTCTTCCCAGACAAATTCTTACATATCTCTCATTGAGCAACGTAAACATATTTTCATATTAGACATGGTTTGATGCTCCTCTGATTTAAAGATTTCAGGGATGTAACCAAGAAGACGCGACGTTTCGACGCTCCAGTCTGGTGCCCTCATCAAGGGTGATCTAATCGCTGCAACAAGAGGTCCTTGTATATGCTCACTAATTAGCTTCCTTTTTTTCTGATGAGGTGTTAATTAGTCATCATATCAAAGGACCTCAAGGCAGACGCTTAAGGAAAAAGTCGGTGAAAACCGTGGTAATTGGGACCCTTCTCACTCTCGTTTTCTTATGCGTGTTAACTCCTGGCTAATATTACGTAACTTCTTTTTCAAGCTACTGAAAAAATATTGCTTTCCACGATTTAAGTAGAGAATTTATGGAATCAAATCAATAACAATTCTTAACTACACGGCTATCTTTCATCTCTTGTGTAAGGTAGTTGATTCGTCGCGACATCCTTCACAATTAACAACTTTAAGCGTGCGTCAAGTGAAACGTGAAACGTGAACGGTCGTGTGAAAGACGATGGCTGTATGTCATTTAGGAAACCTAGGATTGCATTGAAATAATTAGGAGTTGAATCGTTCAACTTCGTTATTGTAGGTGAGTAAATTATTTTACTTTCTGGACTCTGCCTGTAGATGTCAGCCTAAGAAACACGGCATGGCAAGGTCAAAAACTTGATTGGTTCAAAGCTGCACAAAAATTAACGAACAAAATTTGCGTAAAAAGTGAATTTCTGCCGTAAACTAAAAATGCACTAGAATTTATTAACAGTGTTTCAGATTCTTTTATCGTACTTGGCCAAGCTGTTTTCGTTTCAGGCGCAGGTGGGTATAAGGGGTTTTTGTCAAACCCAGAAGTAACTCTTGAGTTAAGATAATTGTTTACTATCAATACGGAACACGTCCTTCAACCCAGCCTACTAGAGTCAAGGAAACGCGCTGTTACATAATAATTTGTGGGCTGTTCAATGATAGAGTTTTTAAATAGGCATTTTCAAGCAAGAAATTTCGAATGAAAATCGAACTAGTTTGAAACTTAACCATTTATTTCTAATTATCCCCCCTAAAAATCTCTATTTCTCGCTCGCTCCTAGTAAGCAATTATCACACTGCCAGGTTACCTGGCGATGTGAGGAAAGTTATATAACAAGAGCGTCAGACTTTGCACGTGCATTAGGCGCCATGTTTGTTACATAAGGGAAGACAGCTGCACGTGCCGATATTTTCAACCAATCAGAGTAATCTATGCAACACGACAGCAGAACTCTTGTCATAAACATTACTTTCCTAACATTTTCAGGAATAGTTAACCATTTTTGCTTAGTCTCAGTGAGTGTGTACTTCGACTGAGAAGATCGCCAACTCATGATGTCTAGTCGTTCAAGTCCAGCAGCCCCAAACCAAAGTAAGTCATGGATAGATATCTGTTAGAAAACTCTTCCTTGATCACGTCAATTCAGTGAGTCTAGTTACGTCATCGTTGCAGGCAAGGTAGAACGAAGAGCTGTTTTTTGTCTTGGACTCCTCGTTGTTCGAAGGCTGATCGTTTAAGGCCTTATATCATTCTTCTTTAAAATCAATGGCCATCCCTGGAACGACATTTTATTTGCATTTGTTGTTACTCAAGAGAACTAAGCTACATGTTACTTGTTTGTTTGTAGGCGATGATAGTGAATCGAGTGACTCGGGTGTCGATACGCTTTCGACATCCACGAGAGGCAGTTTTCCTTCAGATTATATGGACCTGGATGAATTCCTTTCTGTGCAAACTCAGAACTGTCAGGAAAATACCCAAGCGTCATGTGAGGATCCACAAAATTTGTCTCTGGTAGCTAGTACTAGTACCAGAGTTGCTGCTACCACCGTTAGTGGTCTTGTGGAACAAGTTTCTCCAGCGGTCACAGAGTTTTCGAAAGTGGCTGCCAGTGTGAACAACGTTTTGTCTTCCGTGGTCTTATCGAAAATGTCATCACTTCCTTTGCAAGTGGACCCAGCCGTTTTTCAGACCCTCCGAGCAAACACTTCTCAACCAGAGGGAACAAACGCGATTGTACAATGGTGCCAGTCTGTTGGAGGGACAAGGCAAGATCATCAAGAGGCAAGTGGCCCTCAGCCTGGAAAAACTCCGGTTCGGCGACGTCGAAATTCTAAATACGTCTACAATCCTTTGCCGATCACGAAAAAGGCGGAACGGAAGTTTTACAGCCAGTCTCAAAAAGACGAAAGATATTGGGAACGTAGAATAAAAAACAATGTTGCAGCGAAAAGGTCAAGAGACTTACGTAGACAGAAAGAAATTGAAGTCACTGAAAAGTATAAGAATCTCGAGAAAGAGAACGCCAATCTGAAAGAGGAAGTGCGGAGATTGCGAATGAAGGCCGATGAACTCGAAAAGAAACTTGCTTCTTTTCAAGGTTCTCACTAAGGCTTAAAGAACACGTAGAGACTGAGGGGAGGGATGTGAGTAGTATTTGACGCTGTCGTGACATCAGTATGGATTATGTATACGTCATTGCCACTCCTAGCTGGAAGTAAGGGCTTCATAGGAAGTCTGTACCTAGCATACATGTAGTTGACGCTAGAATTGTTAGGCAACCAGTGACAGAGTTGCATTCAGAATCTTTCTCAAAGCCAAAAACCAGTGAGGCTTCCATAGGACTTATAAGAGAGGAGCTCTAGATGCTAATTGCATAGGAATCAAATGCTTAGAATATAATCACAGAGCAATCCCCATCTACTTCACAACATAGTTATTCTCCCAACTACGTACAAGTGTCCTCAGATGAGGACAAGACCCACATTTAGATGGTGTTACTGGCCTTACTGCATTGTTGGAATTATTTCTGATATGACAGAATTGGCCCCTTGCCACTGGGTGGTGAAGGGATCATTAATTTCAAAATTCCAATTTCCTGCTTCTGAACAGTACTATTTGTTTCATGAGCAAGCTTCTTTAAACACCCCTTGTACATTGAAGAAATTTTTTACCACCAAAGAAGTCTTTAAGCCTTAAAGACTTAGTTTGACAAGGTTTGTAGAAATAGCAATATAAAGGAGTTATTGCTATTTCATATTTGTAAATTAGTCTGAAACTTATCTTTATAGATTGAGTGTGTGCAGTAGTACATTTTAGTTTATGCCAGTTGATGGTGTTTAAAAATAAAGTTCCTCTATTCCCAGGAATATCTTTGCTCTTGATTTCCTATTATTAGTAAAAGATAATTGGTGAACCAAATGCAAAGATCTCATTACCACTTATCATCTGATCATCTACATCATGGGGGCAGAAGTATCAAGTTACATCCAATCTACCTGAATTTATGCAAGTGACAAATAAACTTAAATGACTCTAAGGCTGGAACACAATTTGCTTGTGTGGGTTATGACTACAGACAGATTTGTGCAATGAAAAATCTTTTTTTTAAACAATCAAAAATATGATAACTCTTGATTAGGGAGGTTAGACACATCAACTGACCTTTTTTTAGGAGAAAATGAACCTGCCATTTCTCCCTAAAATTAAGTCCAGGCTTAGAGATTAAAATTAACACTAAACAAATAAGCCCTTGTTTGTCAAACAAACTCTCCTTGTTGGAACCTTGAGAGATGTATGAAGCACAGTGTAGAGAATGTGCATGCCCAAGTAAGGGTACAAAGACAGTGCAATGATGTGATCTATTGACTGCCCCTGCCTGACAACAGGACTGTCCAACTACACACTCCTATCCTCAGCAGAGCACACACTGAAATAAGTATCCAAACTGAGTCCCTGATAAGCAATCTTGGGTTGAATTAATATTAAATCACTAGAAATGATGGCAATTCATAAGATTTTTGGAAGTCTTAGGGCATTTGTTAATCATCAAAATAGTAACAGTTGATCAGACTCTAAACTGTGCCCTTCCGTTTAAATGATGACTTCTTGATGCCATCTTCGTCAGAAAGCAGTGATTATGATGTAAGAAATGCTAAGGGCTTCACTTGCCTCTTGCTATAAATACTAACATCAAGATCCACAGAAATGTGTGAAATTTAAAGGATGAACCACCATCCAAAATTCCTAATTTATTTCTGGAAATAAGCGAGGGTTGTCAAAAGGGCAAATATTCTTGATATGCCAAAAGGGAATATTTATAGACTCTGAAATTTGACCTTTGGTTTACCTTGGAGATTAGTGATGATTACTTCATCAGGGAGCAGAAATGATGTTACAAGAAGTGTTAAGGAGATTCCCAATCACCTCTCATCAATGTCAATATCAAGTTATCAAATTATTTTCGAAAAAAAGCAAAGGGGCATCAATTGGCCAAATATTCAAAATTTGTTGAGTTAAAATAGGCAGCTTTGTAAGGAGGGTACAGCTTTAATATGAACCTTTAAATGTGGGAGATGTTAATAGGCTTTGCTAAAGAAAATAGAAGTCAAAGCAACCCTGATTTCATCACCAACATTTGACTACCAAACAGAAAAGATCAAGAAATGTTAACCTTGTGCAACATACCTTTAACCCTTTAGGCCTTGGCTGTCACCAGCATCTCATTTCTCCTCATGGTAATACTTCTGAATCATTCATAAGTTCATGAGAATGTAGGAAATGATTGCCAGCTCAAGAAGCTTCGATTGTTCAACAAATTCTCATCAACAACACCTTGGGAAATGTATGGAGAATATGCATACTGAAGTGAGTGTGTCAAGGTAAAGAACAAACAAGTAAGAGTCACAACACTCGTCTTTCATCTTTATATTTCACCAGTTTATTAACTGTTGCCAGGTTCAATAGTGACAACCCATTCTCTTCAAGACAGTATGCTGCCTCATAACCAACGCTAACAAGAGACTGAAAGTGTCTTGTTTGCCTCAATGAATTGAGATTAGAGAAAATCACCTCTTTCACCCTTCACTTATCAGTAATTAAGCATTTAACCAAATTTATTCTGGCTAGCAGGCAAGGGAACAATTTTGGTTCTTAACCCTTTAACTCCCAAGATCTCATTAGTATTTCTCCTTACTGTCTGCTATACAATTCTTCAGATGTTAATTCTGAGAATTTGGTATTAGATCTACTAATAATCCCCTAATTGATACTTTTCTTGATTCTCATCACTTGTCTTCTTGATTTTGTATTGATAATGTAAGGAGAAATTCTGTCTTGGTCACTCATGGGAGTTAAAGGGTTAACTAAAATTATAGGATAAAAAAGAACCAAGTAGCTTTTTTAATTGGAGAAAAAAAAAATGCATCCAGGGATCAAAATTGTTAAAAAAAAATAACTACGAGTTTCTATGATGAAGTAAAAAATAATCCCACACAATTTTTCAGTGATTTAGTTGCAAACCTTCAGCTCTTATATCTACCTCTGGGGTGTAGCCATGTTTTTGAATTGTTTTAGGCTAGTCCCCTATGAAAGTTCCATCTTTGTTTCAACATTTGCCAGTCATGATGTTAAAGTAAAGTGTGTAGAAAAAAATATTAGGACCGGGCCTTCAGGCTAGCTACACCCCTGTACTTGAAAATTAAATTATAAGTGATCCTGTCAGCTGTAACAGGAATAATAGCATAAAAACTCTGCATGGCTAAATTTCAGGTGATGGAAATTGGTTGGCACTTAGCAAAGTTGTTTGGGATATACAGATTCTCAGCTTCAAAATATAGCTGTGAAAAAAGGAGCCTGCTTTTTGCTCTATTTTTCTGTGTTTATTATGCTTTGATCAAAGAAATACTTGCATCTTTAAAGTTGCTTAATTTTGATTGTAAACAACAAAAGAAAGTTTTAATTCCTAAAGAAAGGTCAGATATTACTGTGACAAAGTTATTCCTGAGAAAGAAAACTTTCAGTTTCTACCTTCACCCATGAAATAATGTGCAGCCACTACTTGGAGTTTGATTTCTGAAGAGGTCTGCATCTTAGTTACTTAACAGAGGTCTTTCCTTCAGAAAAATGGCAAATATTACCTTAGAACCAAGTCTTTGACAAAAATTTTCTTAAATGCTTCAAACATGGAAGCTAAGTCTACACAGCACTGAATCATGAATGAAATTTGACAACTTGTTATAAAATAATAAAAAACATGAAATGAAACAGAAAACCAGTCAAAAACTAAGTCTGGAAGTCATGTTTCTCTCTTGAAATTGCTCTACAAGAATTAAAATACAAAATTGATTTTTCTGTAAAAGGAAATAACATAAACTATCCAAAGTGAATAATATTGCTTACACATAAATTTTTACACTGTGACCAGAATAATACTCTTTTTGTTGGAGTAACACTTAACTTTTGTTAATTTTTTGCGATGAAATAAATTACAAAACAACTCTCTCCCCATGATATAGTATATCTCAGTACAAATATACAATCTTATCCAGAAAATGTACTGGAAATATTTTACTACAAATAAAAATTACAAATCTTGTCATATGGGCATGTCCTATGCCACAAATATTGCTCCCTATCAGGAGAGTACATCAAATCTAACCCTTAAACTACAAAGATGAGAACTGAAATTCTCTATTAAACTTACATCTATTTTCTTGTAAATTAGGAAGACAAATTTGGCAGCAAGTCAAAATGACAGCCTAGAACTAATTCACAAGGAAATTTGCAACAGCTTGAAAGGAGAATTGATGATCAGATCTTGGGAGTTAAAGGGTTAAGTTATGCTAGATACATTATCAGAGTTGCATGATTGAAAATTTCTCATAGTAATAAGTTACTCCAGAAAAGAAAAACCTCCTGAACACCATGTTACAGAGAAATTCCACTCTTACAATCAACTTATATCACAAAGAAACATACAGTATATTGTATTCTCCTTGTCGACATAACTAGCAGTGAACTTCCACAAAATATGCAAAGTCAATATAACTAGTAAATTATGTCCTCCAACTTGGCAAAGTAGAAAACCAGGTCATGAACCTCCAACACTATTTGTCAGCTTGATGTCTCCAAGACTACGCTGCAAACTCCCATTTTTTCGTTGTAGTCTAAGGATATGATAAAATCATCCTCATCGACAAAGGCCTCCACAGCTTTATCATCAATTTCTGAGGCAGTCCTACAAGATAATAATCACAAAGCAAAGGGTTTAGAGTAATGTTTCTATCATTTGTAAAATGAGACTGTAGAAGGAATACATCAGTACAAAACAATCATGCAACATCACATCTGTGCATAGAAAACTGGGTGTCAAAATTTAAAATTTCACCCTGTGAAATTTTGCTGCTTTAATTTTTTACATATTGTTTTACAGTGAACTGATTGGTTTCAAATAAATTTCACATATTATGTAATGTTTGTATTTATTTAGCCAGATTGAGGGAAAATTATATGTCACATAAGAAAAGCTGTATTAGACAAACAATATTCTATGCACTGTTATCTCCCACTGAATCTTAATACAAGGGCAAGAAACTATAGCAAACACATTGCTGATAAACCAAAAGAGCAGCAACTAAAATTTACTATTGCTTAAAACCTCACCACTTGTCACTTCAAGAGCAAAATAGTCAAGAAAATAAATTTTAAACCAAGCCAACAAAACAAACTGTATCTGGCTAACCAAAATGACAGGAGGTAGGATCACAGATAGCTTGTAAATATGCTATTTGTCACTTGCTCTTGTATTCAAGCACAGTTTGATCAAAGCCCACACAAAGCAACATGAAACAATATTCTCCCCCAACCATCACAATGACAACACACTATCACTTGCACACCAAGCTACTTAAGTTCTGACAAGAACCACTCCTGAGACAGACACTGTTACAAAAATTTAAATAAATAGGACTTCTATTTGACAACATGATCTTTTTTGGTGAGTGAAAGGTTATAGAGGTTAGATTTCTTCAAGAAATCCAAACAGAATCATCAAAGCAGACAAACAAGAGTGTATAAATTCAGTCTTGTTTGAGTCCCTTCAAGACTTTTGTAACCATGTCTACCTCAATGGATATGAAGCACTACAAACTGTGAACCCTTGCAGCATTGACTTTTGACACAAAAGTGCAATTAAGTGGAGTTTAACATTATATCAATGTATACTTCTCAACTGCCAAGCTTGCAAAGGGAAGAATTTCATGTAAAACTGCAGTTCTGAAAGCCAATTACAGATTTATGTTGGTTTCCACAGTATTTCTGGAATAGCCAATCAGAAAATGTTCCTCAATGTTCTTTCTTTTTTCCTTTTTTTTTTTCATTCAAACTGTATATAATGTTAAAACTCCCTTCAGCAAAATTAACAAAACTAACAACATAAGTTCTTTTGGACTACTCATGACCAACAATTAGATAGCAAAAATAGAAACAGATTTCTTTGAGATTGGTTTGAGATTTTTACAATAAAATTGCTTTGGTATGGCTAGCGTTCTTTTAAAATTCTGTTAAATGTTATGCTACCCTGCAACTTCGAAGGTGTGCAAAACTCCATCTGCAGACGTCCAGGAGGCCCTACCAACTGTGCCCACTCAGTTGCTGCAAAATTCAAACAATAAACTAACGTACAAAACCTATTTACATTCACCATGAAATTCCGCAGTAAAACTAGATTCCAAACTGTCGTGTCACTTTGTCTATTTTCCTCTAGTGCTCTCAGTTATTGAGGAAAACAAGGCCATCACAATTTCAAAAAGAAAACAGGATGTCGTAAAATGAATTGGGAGCAAGGAAATAACTTTCCTGGTTTGAAATATCTCCTAAAAGAGTACCTGCCTGCTTGGATTGATGGTCTCAATTTGAGAACCAAGCAAAATCACCATACTGCAAAGACTATTTTTCAATCATTTTTTCTAGTGGCTGGGGTCACACTCCAGAACAATCAATCAAAAAATTCCACAATACCAAACTGTGCCACCTGCATCATTCTACATCCTTTACTTTGTTAGATAAGAAATAATTTTATGTTAAATTTCTGCACTCCAAAACGAAATAAAAATACTGAGTCAACCCATCAAAAAAATTCTTCCTGTATTTTCATCTACAATTAGATATGACAGCTTATTTTTCAGCAAAACCCTGTACAACTTGGAAGTCCATGTTCACTTCAACCAAAATTGAGTATTCATAAAAATTTGGTACCTCAGACCTCCCTGGAACTATTGTTTACAGATGGAAAGTTGGCAATTTCAAATGTGTGTCAAAGCCTTCAATCCTCTTCTCTTCTAGTTATTTCCTGGGTTATTTTTATTTATCAGTTCATTTACTGCATCTAAGTACACTACTTTATAAAACAAGCAAAGTTAAGGGTAGAGATAATTTTGTCTTTGTTTCTTCAAAAACCAGAGTCTTTCATTTAAATTTAACAATCTATTACGCTACAAAATTTTGATATGGAGCTTAGATTTATACTAAATACACAGAAGCTGTGTAAGAAATTAGGCCTGACTTTGCAAAACCACAGCAATTGAACTTGTACCTGTTTAAGATGGCTTATATGTTTATGTTATACAGTCAACAGCAAGAAGAATGTTTGTGAGCCACAGCTTGGAATGATGCCAGGGTAAGTGTGACCCCAGCCCAAATATTAATAACTAGAAATTTATTTTCATACTTTTGGACTAGAGTAAACCATGCTAAATGCAGTGAAGGAACATAAATCAAAGCTAACAAACTGTGTACTGTACCAGTCAGCCTTGCACTGAGGAGGAACATTAGCTACAATCAAAACAGCAACAATCAAAAGGATTATATTCCCAGATTAAAGTATACCACTGAGCATGGATAAATTATACAAGTCAATATCCCAATTAGCGCATGACCTGCCAGACTGCAACCTTGAAATTCAAAACAATGGGGACACAAAACAAAACAGATCATCCTAATTGAATTTGCCCAGTTTGTCATTTATGAAGTCCATGTCAATGCTACTTTGTGCAATGATACTTGTTTGTGGGACACATTTAAGTATACATGTCGGGTTGCATCACAAAGTCAGAAATTAAATGGTGGGATATTGAAATGTGTACTATTTACTCATTCCAACCCTTCCAATACCCCCAGCGGTCAATAAACACATGTTAAAAATACAGTACAATGACAAACAGACTTATACACATGGCTTACTAAAACATTTAAGCATCAACACTAATTCCATTACACTCATGGTTTAGCACTATTAAGTCAATTAACCACAAATATGCACACAAACAGCCCCAACTTGCTCCATTAATCCCTTTTAATTCAGATCTTATTCACAGAATGGCACAAAGAAAACAAAAGTCAAATAAGCCACAACAACCTTCCTTTGAAATATCGCAGAAGCAAATACATATATTTTTCATTTTTTTCCAAATGGCCATGTCACATGAGCCATGCTGTGAATAGCACTAGGTAAAAATAACTTTTACTATTGTACCAAACTGATACTCTTCTACTGCATGAAACAAGAACAATTTGCCGGGCAAACTAACATCTCCCAAATTATGACAGTGTAAATTTTAAAAATTTTAACAACATGTCAAAAACAGTGTTGTTGTCAGAGTAGAAAAGACATCACTTTGGCATTTTCCAATAATACAATTTATATCTAATTGCAATAAAAGGCAGGAAGCAAGGGAAGAGGTTCATTGAAAACTATTGTATAGTCAGCACAAACATGCTGAGACAAGGCCAAAAAGTTCCAAATCTTACCCTACGCAAATACTGAGGGTATAACCCTTCAAGAAGTTTTAAAAACGTAGTTACTGTATTCCAAAATGTGGAATTTGTTCACAACAAAAAAGAAGACAAAACTACTGTCACATTAAGAAGAAAAATCAAAATAGCTAGACGTTGTAAACAAACTTTTAATGTTAATTGTTAAAATCTGAAGACCAAGAACTGAAGTGAGCGTGAAATTTTGATGAAAATTTATGGGACAATAATTTAGAAATTGTATTAAATGGTTGGCCTTCACTTAGAAAATAACAACACAAACACCTAAACAATGCACAAAACCAAACGAACTTTGAACTCTCAAAAGAAACATTCCAAAAAAACCCGTCGAGATCTCGTTGTCAGTTATTGTTGATGGAATTAAAAACAACAACAGTAAAAAAAACTTGCACTGTCACGATTTCACTCCCTTGACATAAAAATCTCGACGATTCATTAGGATAAATAAAAGCCTTTTTCATGAAATAATTTACAATTAACGTCAACAACAAAGCCATAAGCGAATATAATAGCATGACAAGGGTAACGAGTTCTGGGAATCATTCCTTTCAACCGGATCAACACGACAATCAGCTTTGACGAGTAAATGCAACAGTAAACAAGATTTAATCAGTCGAACCAAAAGTACTAACAAAAAAGAAAAACCTTCAAAAAGCCAAACTCAGAATTTGAAAGAAATACTTATCGATCGAAGAAATGAATGGAGGTGTAAATAAAACTGGTTAGAAACTGGAATAACAAGTTACCACGTGCCAAGAAACATGAACTATGAGCTAACCCAGGCCGGCAAACGTGAGTGAAGCGAAAGATACGCCATAAAAATCATGACAGCAAACACGCAAAATAAGCTTCAGAAGCGCCTCGTAAATTGAAAGGGAGGATGAGAACTAATGCTTTATTTTTCGAATAAATTCAAAACCCTTGAAGTATGCAATATAAATGAAAATCGAATCTATTGTTTCGCAAAACTCGCTACGACTAATATGGAGAGAATGCAAATCTTTTACGTCTCAATAGTTCACCTTGCAGAACTGAACTACAAAGTAAGCAAAATGACTTCTAACACAAACTAAACACGGTCAGCTGTTTCGAGCAAAAACTAGCGACAGCTCACGAGGGGAAAATATCGTAAACTCGTGCACATACGATCATCTAGCATGCGTAAGTATACTAAAAATAAACAACTTCGATACTCCCCTTCGTACACACTTCCTGCCTTTCATTTTTGATTTAAGACTAAGATCGTGAAATCTCCACTCTCTAACGAGATTAAATTCAACTTACCCTTCTTTGCATCGAAGAGCGAAACTCGTGATTGAATCTGACGGAGTGCCGTACTTCTCAGACAACGCCAGTTTTAAACTCTCGACTGTTACTTCTTCCAGCATTATAGCATTGTACGCTTTCTCGCTCTCTCTGCGTACATATATCGTTAAGGCAGGCGGTGGCCGCCGAACGACACGTTTAATCCTAGGAGCTAGTTCAAGATCATCGAGGGCGTCCGCAGTTTTAGAAAACGCTTCGTGAGCAGTTCTCTTCCTTGCCTTCTCCCGTAAATTCTTAAACAAAGGAGTAGAGTACTTTTCTTGGTCAAATTGAGAGGGAAAGCGGGCCTGCATAATCTTGACAACCATATCCATACACTGAGGACCCTTTACAGTCCAATTAAAACTCAACCAAACTCCTCAAATCGATTTTCCAGCTCCCAGAAAGGGAAAAATAAGCGAAAGCAACGGCCCGTTGAGCTACTGTTTAACGCGACTATCCCGGAACTGACAACTCTCGAAATGAAACAAGACTTTCTCCGATAGAAAATTATTTCACAGCCTCTTGAAGCTCTCGAAGGTTTCACGCTTTGGTAATGTTCTGCCAAGAAAACGAAATGCTACGAAATATATTTGAATCTACATCTTTGGAAACGAAAAACAAGTTATAACAACACACGATGCTGGTCTCGCTTGACGGTGATAGTCTCGACGGCTTCTTAGTGCAAACCTGGTTGAGCAGGAGTTCCGATCCCCTACCAGTAGGGGGTAGGGATATGTTTATCCTATGCATTAAGAAGAAGAAATAGCCATAAAGATATTCCAGTTAGCTGTCAGAAAATCAGAGTAGATATAGTCTAATATCTTTTTTTTAAAAATTGTCGATACCATCGAGAAATTCGACATTATGGAGAATTTTTCATTGTAGCTCATCGTCCCTACTCCAGTGATTCTTCCTATTGCCTGGCTCCGTCATTGCTATACGCGTCATGGGATAATTAGTGCCAGTTCCTCAGGCGTAACGGCTAGACCAATCACAAGCGAAGACGTACACGTGATTTCACGTGCAGTAGTTTCACGGCAAAATAAGCAAATATCTAGTTTCCGCCGTTAGTATCTCCCAGACAAACTTGTTTTGACATTTCGTGGGCCAAGATTTGGCTGAATTTCTATAATTTACCCAAATTGTGGTTTGAAGTTTTTCTTTCGGATTTCACATCGCTCTTAATCCTGACCACAGATTTCGCTTGCGAAAAGCAGATTTAGTTTTGTCTTACTTTTCCGAGGTAAAATTTTTTAGGCTCCATGTTCTAGGCGAAGGTGATCGAACCTGCAGAGACCAACATCTATGAAACGGTTTCTTTGATATTTCATTCAAAAGTATTTTCTTTTTTGCGGATTTAAAGACCGTGATACGGTTTTTGTATTTTGTGTCAGGAGCATGCAACCTAAAGATGGGCCAACCACAATTATTTCTCACAAAAATAGCAACCCGCACAAAAAAACCGTCTCTTCAGGGGTTTACATTAATAATCAGCAGAGAAAACCGCATTGATAGAACATATATTTTTAGGAGCTCCAAATCCTTAAAATTTGCATTGCTAGGCTTACGAAAATCACATTTACCGGACCACCGTAAGACCCTAAGTGGCATGCGTGACTAAACGGAAAAAATTTGAACCTTAAGGTCATTCAAAGATCTTTCCACATCGGTTGATCCAGTTTCGCAATATTAGCGGTTTTCTTTTTTTTTTTTACCTTTTTTTTTTGGCCACAAAAAAGGCTAAAGAGGTCACTTTAGCAGTGGTTCCTGGAGGGCACATTGCGTGGCAACAATAGGTTCCAAATGAAATCGCGCACGCAAAAAAAATTTGGTTTGGTGAGTTCGGCCAAGCAAGAATACTCATCTACAACTCGATACCGCGAACCAGTTACGTAACCGGCTGCATGATTTAATTTCACAGAGAACAAGAATAGTTTCCATTATAAAAAATTAACACCAAACGACGTTGAGCAACTATTACAGTTACGCAAAGCTTCTTTAAAGCGCCCAGGATTTTTCTGAAAAACGGGTTTTCTCGCGTCCAGATCCAGTTAACGCTCGGCAACCGGGGTTGATTCTTGTTTTTCTCGCCCTAAACATGCTAAACGTGCTCAGCTAGCCTGGATATCGGAAGAGAAAGATAGATCGACTTTTTGGTTAAACCCAAGTGATATTCAATCAAATTGGGAAATCATGCAAAGTTACAGTTTTACGTGGAGCGTCTGTCCTCTTGTTTTTTAGATCTAATTTCCCCTGTTTTTGCTTTCATTGCGATTTAATTATCAAAATTTTATGCAAAGTTGAACAGCTCCTGTGAGAACTAATCATGCCACTCACCATGCACCACTGCCCTCACACCATAAAGTTCACGAGGTATTGCGTGTTGAAGAAGCAAAAACGTGATTTTTAACACTCGTCCCACGCTTAACGCGAGTGGCTGGTTTTACGCAAAGGAAACTCGTGTTGAGCTTCCTTTCGAAATAAAAATTGAAACGAGGCAAATATAGCATCACAAAAAGCTGCTTACAAGACCTCAAAATGAAAAAAACGAAACAAAACTTCTTGAGGCATGAGAAACCGCAAATGCCTAAACACTTTGTGGAGGTGTGCGTTATTTAAAGTTCTAGAAAAATCTTTGTGCGTAAAGAATCAAAACCAATGTAATTTCCCACTAGTCACACGAGGCACAATAGATGTTTGTCGGAAAAGCTGAGGAGGTGATTGACAGCATTCATTAAAAAATGTGTTTTCAAAACGTAGAGAAGTGCATTTCTGGTCATTTCTGTCGGTAAACGAACTGAAACCATTCACTAGTCTGGGTACTTGTCTTGAACCCAGACCTTCCTCGGCCAAGCTGTTTACTTGCAGTTGGATCACTTAACACCCTAACATCAGAATGAACATTTTAACGAGAAGAATTTCTTTAACCATTAAAAGGCTTTTTAGTTAGTGATCGATACCTTAATTCTCATGTTTCATTCAGGGGTGATGCAAGTGTAAGTTAGGAGAAATCATACGCTGGTCACTTCTAGGGGTCAAAGGGTTCGTAAGAGGGAGAAAGGGAAAGAAAGAGTGGAGGATAATCGGCCCGCTTGAATTTTACCTTCCTTCTGAAAATGGAGGAGGAGTGCGTATCGGCCTATCCTCTTCCGCCATCTTCCCCCATAAGTCCTTATTGTCTGGCTCCTTCTCGATCCGTTTTGCATCCAACGGTGGACGCTGGCTAACCTGGATATCTAAGTTATTTTTGCCTGTTTAAAGGTTGATTTTTCAAGACAAATTGTTTTGCCGTAAACTAGGAAGCTAAGCGGAAAAGATTTTTCTAGAGGAAAGCAACAAATCTCACCTGCAAACTTTTAAATTGGCCGAAAAGAGACTGAGAGGATTCTTAAACAAAGGGCAAAATTAGTTATTCTTTGAAGGCCCAGTGTTATTTCAAATGTTTTTTCAAAATCCGAAACACAAATAGCTACCCAGAAATTGCTCTCTTTGTTTGTTGGTTTGTTTGTTTTTCCCTCGCGAAATAGTTGTTTAGTGAGTTACAATGACCTGGTCATTGGTGTTCGGCCGGCACCCTTGCTTGCGATTCTCTCCTTGACCGAAGAGTTAAGGCCGGAATACCCGTGACTTTGTTTTTTGAACTACTTTGAGCCTATCAGTTAAAAACTGTGCTTGGGTTAGGAAAGTTATCAAAAAGACCGAACACCAGAAGCTTCTATAAAATTGCCACGTTACGTAAAATTAATCCTGGCATGAAATTCTTCAAGCTTGCCGGTGCCGACGTCCACGCACTTCGAACTCCTTGCGCATTTTGCCGCGATAATATAGCCACTTTCTGGTAGAAGTTTAAATTTGGGGTTCCGTACTGCGCCAATATACTTCGAAACTAATTAGTTGCTTGAAAGCAAACCAGCTAACTTGCGCAAGTGTTTCCATCTTCATTAACTACTACTGAGGAGCGCTGCGCAAGCTTTTGCTTCACAGAACCAAGCGACAAGGAAAGTGCACGATAGACAAGGAAGGTCAAGTGGATTGTCTCCTCTGAATAGATAGGAGGAAAAAGCCGGTATAGATGGTGTCTGCTTGGTTTACCCAAGCTTCTTGCGAGTGCTGTGATCCGCGCTATCTTCGCACTGTCGTTACTCAGTTTCACTCCAAGTCCGTCTGTTAACTCAACATAATTGTCGTCCCCAATAATAAGGCTATTTAGCTACCAGCGATACAGTTAGAGGTGCTCGAGATCTAAAATTTAGAAGCGTGATTTAAGTTCCTTTCTGGTGCTTCGAATCAGATACTTTTAATCTCTCTCAACCCAACCAATCTCACCATCTCGAGGTTAACACGACACCTGGAAGCGAGGTTGCCACATTCCTACCTCGCCAAGTAGTCAGGTTTACAGAGGGAGTTTTCTCTGACCAAGTGAAATTGAATCGTGCATGTAACCACGATTTTAGCGCTTTGAGCCTTAATTTTCCTTAAATGGGAATACGAGTCAAAGAAAGTCCAGCCCGTATACTGTTCAAAAGTCGCGATATATTTACACAGGATTGAAGGATACATCTGAACATGAATACTACACCAAGCGTTTCACAGACGACAAGCGTTCCCTGACGCATTAAGAATGAATTTTTCATGATGAATACATAAACTATAGCGCTGAGAATAACTAATCTTTACATCCTGAAAGAATATTGAACTAATATGGAACGCAATTTCCTTTTAATAAAACGCAACGTAACGAGCAAATTGGGAGAAAATATACTCATATGTCCTTCTAAAAGTGACTAACATTGTTACACCATAGCGCGCAGTTTTTTCTCAGCTTTAGAGATTGCCGCTTTCAGTCTCTGAACCTGCCTTCTCAGAGTATTGTTCTCTTTTTCTAGGGTTGAAGTCTTTTTGGCGACCGCAATTTCGCGGGCTCGTTTAGCTTCGCGTGATCGTTTTGCCGCCAAATTATTCCTTTTCCTTCGTTCCCAGTACTTTTGGTCTCTACCTGTGCTAGGGTTTGGAGAGGCGCGGCGTGATTTCTTTGCTGAACAAGTTGGCTGAAAATCCTCGTCGTCATCATCTTCTTCCTCTTCCGCTTCTGTATCTTCAGACACTGTAATCTTATCATCATCACCGAACTCACTGTTAGCCTCAGCAGCTGCATCTAACGGTTTCACGTAGTTGTGATCAGTGATAACACTGATTTTGTTGCGAGTTCTGAGTTTGCGCTTAAGTGAGTTCCGTCGAATATCTTCCGAAGAACAAACGACTTCGATCGCTGGCTCTTCGACAATGTTCGTAATAGTGTCAGTAGTATCATTCGACGAGTAATCAGGGCATGGTTCCTTCAAACTATCCTCAGTGAGATACGGCAGTTTTCCTGACCGTTCATAGTCGACTTTTCCACTAGTTGAAGGCTCAAATAAATCGTCCAATAACTTGAAAGGTTCCTCAAAGAAATCACTCGATAAACTGGATAAATTACCGAGTGATTGCGAAGCTACATCGTGTCTAAGCTGACCCGGAAAGGCAACGTTTTGCCAGGGCTCATCGTCGCCGTCCTCTTTGATCTTTATGTGAGTATACAGTTTACTGGGAAATTCGCCGTCAAAGAGGCACGTGTTGAGGGCATCCACAAGATTCGAACTCAATTCATTTTCAAATCCAAACAACTGTGGATCGCTTTCATTGTCCGCTACACCGGGAGAGGAAGGAGATGAGCTTAAACCGCTGTCTTCGTCATCATCAAACCCGGACATGTTCTTCTCTGTTGAATTGAAGATAAAAGTAGGTGAGCACATTAACTTTGGACATTGAAATAAGAGCACCGAAGAGGCAACAGCGCAAATATGAATCAGCTAGGTGTGGCTGTGATAAGTAGCTCTGTATTGTACTGAGATTCAATAAAACATTATCATGTAAGAACATTCTGAATTGCGTCAGCCGCGTCGTCCTCTGTAACTGCTAGTGTTGTTCCCAACTTTTCACAAAACTGAACACGCAAAGAAACCGCCCACAAGCAGCACTTCTACACTGAGGGTCAGGAATGGACACTACTGTTATACCCTCTGTCTGAAATAATTAATTACAAACTTCTAAGGAACTTGTAGAAAACTGTTCTCCGGTTCAAATGGAAATACGTTCCATACTCTTAAGTAACAAATGCCACATGATTTTGGAAATTGTTTCAAACGAACTTGGTCTATTGTTGTAAACCTGAAAGTGTTTTGTTAAACTTTGCTTCATTGAGAAAGAGATGGAGGGGCGTATTTCCTTCCTCAGGTCAGAATTCTTCAGAATTCTTCAGAACTACTTCGACAATGACCAAATTTTTGTTAACTACCATGCCACAATTTAAGAGTACCGTGTAAAGGTGTTCTGCCTTTTAGTTACGCGGTTTTTTTGCCATGTTAACCATTAAAACTTTGTTGAGACAAAGTTGATGCAATATATTAATTTTATTAAGTAAAATCTTTCGCCACAGACATTGGTTAAAAGACTATAAGAGATTTACACTTTGATACAACATAAACGTAGGGCTGTCCTTAAAATAAGGCTCGCGCTCTGATGTAACAATGCACGCACCACGTTATACCTGACTGCAGCTAAAAAAAATTACCAGGAATATCCTAATGTAGTAAAGGACTTTGATCCGGAGGGTTTTTCAAGCTCGTCGGATGGCGATATTTCATTCAACTCATCACCAAAATAATTTTAAACACGAGTGACAGTTTCATTTTCGTTCATACCAGTGCAAAATGTACCCCATTGAAAACTGTTGTTTTATCGGATGTAAATTATTATTTTGAATTGACCGCCCCATGTGTGGACGGGCAGTTCGCAAGAGTACAGCACGAATATTTAGCAAAATTTTATATTCTCACCCGAAATGTGAAAATTTTCAATTCCATGTGCTTGAAGCAGCTCCATGAGTTTTGACGGCGTCTCGTAAGGTAATCTGCCACAAGATCTGAATCGCTCGCTAACTAGTTTCGCGATGACTCGGTGACTCTTCAAGACTACACTGGTGACAATTATTTCGCCGGTAGTTTATTTACGAACGAGAGACACGTGCATGCTTCTATTACAAAGGAGTGTGAATCAATTAAATTTCAAACATTTATGTAATGTATTACATAACAAGACATTTGATTGGTCGACGTTGGTAAACTCACGTTGGATCTCACGTTTCCGGTTTCTTCAGCTTAGACGTAGTCACATTGCAAATTTATGTGTAACGAACCACGTGTGACGATACACGTGTCTAGGGGAATGTCGTGACTTCGAAGCGCGTGACTGAGCTTTCCGCGATCCAATTTCTATGCGGGCAATTTAGCAGCGATCAGGTTTTAAAGTCAAAAATTTAATTATCATCGAAATTTTCTATTAAGTTGAAGTCCATTTTCCGAAGATTGGAGCAATCTTATCTAATATCTGCCGTGTCACGCACGATTATGTAATTTGCCTCTCTTTTGGTTTCGGCTTATGCAATACAAATCGTTCTTTAAAACCACAACACATGACCGTCCTCGTGAAGAAAGGCTGTCAAGCCTGTGGTTAGACAGTTAAAATTGGGTGTCCTGTCTCGATAACCATGAAATTTTACAAACTAGTAAGACTTTGGTAGCAAATTAATAGGCGGTCTTTGGAGAGGAAAGGAGGAAAGCACATTCACAGGTCTTTCCGTTAAATTTCGCTGAACTTTTTTCCCAAATTGACATTCTTATAAACTCTAACAGCACATTGCAGTCAGCCGTTCTGTTTTGGTTGCGCGTTTACCTTTGTTCTTTGGTGCTGCTGTATTTTTTATGGAAAAAATGTTTTTTTGTTATCTCGAAATTGACTGCGTTCGACACTAGGATTCCCCCCATCGTCCGGGATTACAGATTACACTGATAGTGGGTACGTTTTCAGCACGGCATGTGAACGCAGCGCCGAACGCGTGAGATATCGCGTTGAACACCCGAAGATAAATTCCATAACTTCAAGCAACCATGTATCATCTTGTTCCTTCACTGACAAGAAACGCTTTCCTTTTCCCTCAACAACTTGACGGAAGAGTGGAGTGGTACGAAAGGCGGGTAACATGCGGGTAGGTCTTTCAGCAGTGATTGGCGATATCAAATTTATAAGATAAACACTTTTCAGTATCTCAGTAAGCCGTTTACTACTGCATTTATTACGTGCTCAACCGTTGAATTATTTTTTTTTTTTACACTCCCATTTCACAGAACTTTTCCATCTCGCACTTCCTCGTCTAAATTTTCAATTATCTTTTTTCACAGTACTGTTCTTATCCAGGGAAAGCCCCTATTAAAGATGATCTCTAACCTTGGGCGGTTTCGATATTTCGATATTTTCATCTGTTTCATTTCCCTCCATGAATTGTGAGAAATGTCATCAGATCAATGATTTACGTTATTCTTTAAGAATATTGGCATTTGATAAATTGTGGATTTTAAGCCGTTGGAAATATTCCAATTCGTTGAAAAAAAAAATAATTTCCGGCATTCGATATTACATTCAACGTCACGCGAACAAACATAATTTTCATTCGATAAGGATGATCACTATTCGATTAAAAGATTATGATTTTATATTAGAAAAATCAACTTCATTCGAAATTACATTGTCCTTCGTTAATGTCACCATAACAGTGATGAAACGACCACAAATTTTCCCGCCATTTATCATCTGTAAATGAAGGATTCATGGACTTAGGCTAAAATTCTGATAGTAGTTATGCACGTGTAAACTATCTGACCAGACTATGAGCAGTCTTTCTTTCAGCGAAGTCAGCCTGCTGTGTGGAACTCTCTGTCTTTTTCCGCTGACAGTTTAAACACTCGTCCGAACTACTTCGCTCCCCACAGGATCGAACCTAGGGCCCACTTTGGTTTCTCGAAGGTTCAGGTAACGTAACGGGCTCGTAAAACTATTCTGTTTCCCTTCAAGATAGGTTTTAAAAAGTTTTGAAAATTGAGAAAATGAATGGTTGGTTAGAGCGTCAGAGCCAGCTTCACCACTCTTTAGATTTCGATTTCAAAATATATTTTTGGGCTCGTTATGTTACCGTGACTTTGAAGAAATAGGCCCATGGCGCGGAAAGATTCGAACTATCAGAGCCTTGACCGCCGCATATGAAAAATTTTTGTCGCGTAAAACAAATCCGAATTGATACGAGTGAAGAAAAGTCGATACGCATCGGTCAAACCCTTACTCGTGAGAGAGGAGGCCGAACTAGAGACCAGTTTGTGTTGACCCTTCGAGACACTAGAAATACTTTCGGACAGCAAAACAACTATCCAAAAGAGGTGGGTGCCCTGAGAAGAATGAGACATTTGGCAAATACGTCTAACAGGATAACCATTTCACTCGTGATATTTTGAGTCGAACACTCGAAGAGAAATTCTATAAATACGGGTGCCTATTTATTAGTCTCTGTTCAATCAGTATATGAGAATCAATATTTTTGTAAATTATAGGTCTACGTTGATCTTATTGGCATTCAATTTTTTTTTCACCTGCACTACTAAACAAAAGGATGTTAATGATGATGACATCTTCGGCAAGTTTCGTGTCATCTTCGGTAAGTTTCAGACGTCTCCGGACATAATCGAGTTTTTCTAACAAATGACTCAATGTCAGAACATAAATGTTTGCCTTTTAGCTCCATGTTACTCGTCTTATCTGCATATTAACGCCCACGGCGTCAAATTGAATGTTTACACCGTCTCGTTCTCTAGACCACTAGTCCAGCAAAATGAAAACAATAAATGAATTTTAAATACTCGAGGGAAATCAGTCCGGAGAAAGGTGTCCAATTCTTTGAATTTATTTCAACCATGCCCATTTACAATTGTCAACTTTTTTTTCTTAGTCATCAAGTTATGCATATCTTCGAACCTTCCAAATAAAAGCTGAAAAGTCATAGCTTTTGTTGATGATCAAAGCCTCGACGGACGATATCTTACTAAGGCAGCCACTACAAGAATTCAAAAATGGCCGCACGTAAATTCATCCCAGGTAATGTTAGTATTATAGTAGTTTAAAAAGAGGGATAACTTTATCCAACAGCTCAGCTAGAAATTTCGTATGCCTTCCCGGAGAGCAGTTCATCCTATTCATGCAGGCACTCCCAACTATCACGAGTGAAGAACCTTGGTCAAAACAATCTCATTCCACCACATGTTATTTATTTTTGTGGCTGAACAAAACCGAATTTATTTTCTTTGACAACCTAAGCCTTCGTCAAGTATTTAAAGTTAATTCGTACGACAACCCAACTTTTAAAAAACTAGTTTTTGTAAAACAATAGATTAAAGTCCTCGCTAATTATCTTGGATCCCAGATAAATTTCATAAGATATCGGCAAAGACATAGCTCCTTGTGCACACGATTTACGGTTTACGGTGGACAAATTAATTTTGCTAGGTTTTGTAACAGTCCACGAAACTAAACTAAAAACTCCCATTTGCGTGAAGTACTTTGCAATAAATCCAATTTATGCAAAAATCCGAATAGTGTGGGCGGCCCTGATTTGAGTTTTTCGAAATTAAAATGTCTCATGATCAAAACTTAAAATATTGTCTCACCATGGCGCCGAACAGTATGCAAGCAGTGTATTTTATTCTATTTTCGTTAGAGTCAGCATCAATTTGCCTGTTCGAAGCTTTCACTTGATATTAAAGGTCTTCGTAAATGATTTGCAAACCAGGTTTTTAAAATGTATCCATTCATAATAATTTTACGGATTGTTGACCAGGAACAAAAACAAATCCGCGAAACAAGAGGGCTGGTCGACATATATTAGAATATCTACCAAAAAGGAAAGCCAAAATAAAGTTTTGATAGCTGCAAAAAGAAGGAAAAGTATTTGGCTGATTAGTAACATGGCCTTGTCCATCAAAGACCTCTCTGGTCCTTAATCGAGGCAGTGCAAAGGTGTGCCAAAACCGGAGATGTGAAATTGGAATCCTCTTGGGGGTCGGATTTTTAGTCGCACACTCGTGACAAAACGAGCATTAAAACCTCTCTCTAAATTTTAAAGCATCTATTTTTTTTATTGCGGGAGCCGGTTTAATGCTGTCCTTCGAAAACATGCAATGGTTATGTTGTTTTAAGCGTGTGGAATGTGAGAGTTCGAAGATCCTGACCATATATACCTTAACACAAAGTACTTCTCTAAATGACGCCATGCACAAAGACTTTAATCCCACTCACTCCCATGAATGATGAGACCATAAATTCTCCTCACTTTCAAGAAAACTGAAGATGCCGATTAAATAATCAACGATAAACGAAAACTAAAGTGACACTTAAAAATTTTATGTGGACGATGAAAGGACCAGGTTTTAAAAAATAACAGTTTCATGGAACTACTCGACTTAAAAATGCGTCTTTCTTGAATTTTAGAATAAGTATTACGCAGAAATTGGAGATTTCGGGATTCAAGCGTCGTATCTCTGAAGCATAACCTCAAAAAAAGGTTGATGATTTTAATTTTCCGCTTGAGCACACGAGACTAGTACAAAGAGGTCAGACTAAAAAGTAAGCTTGGTGTTTGAGGAAACCTTGGCCTCGTATGTTCAGTACAGAATTAAGGTCGAGAAGGGTAGAAAATGTTTCAGTTTAGCTTTAACAATTTGGGTTCTACAATGTATAAAAATTCAACGCACGCAATCTTTCAATTTTTCTTTTATACCCCTCTGACAGGCAGAGAAAGATTCTGTCAAAATTTGCCATCTCCCGAAAATGTATCAAGTAGAAGTTCACCCTGTTCAACGGTCTTCTCAGACGACGGCAAGGATTACTATGACTTTCAGTTATACAGCCCCCTTAATGTCGACTGCGATTTCCAACTGACACCTGAACTTACCAGACTCGATATGGCTTCCTCTGCCATTGATTGGCTTGAGAACCTGGATTCATCTCTTCAAACAGAAGGAGGTTCACAGACAAATGTTGCAGAGGATCACCAGCGTAATATGATGACGTCATACAGGAACGCAGGTGTGGATTGTCAAGTTGGTGCTGCTGTTACGTTTTTCAACCCTGTACAACCTAGACATGCTTACGGTCCTTCTCCAACAGAGGTTGCCACCTTCGAATGTCATTTTTCTCCTCATTCTTACCCAAAGGATAGGAACAACCTAGATTCTGTTGATTGCGTTTCTGATCAGAAATGGAAAAGAAGCAGGTACTCTGTCCCGGATGAATGCAAAGATGAGAAATACTGGAGAAATCGATCACGCAACAATATGTCTGCGAGAAAATCTCGGCAAGCGAAGAGAGACAAAGATCGCTTGGTCGCAAGGAAGATGGAGGAACTTGAGAAAGAAAATGCCATGCTAAAAATGATGCTGGCAAATTTCATGGTTCAACATCAGCGGCAACAACAGCGCTCGCTTCCTTGGCAATAGTTTCTCTTTGAAAAAAAAAACAAAAGTATTCATTTTGTATTAGCCGGCGTGAAAGCATAGACGTTCCCACTGTCAACTAATAAATCACGTAATTAAATAATGTGTGCGTGCGACTGAAATTATTTGAAGGTACGAATACTTACACTTAGCATCCTAAAGTTATACCACGACGTAGAACAAGGTGGCAATGAGACTTCCTCATTAAATATACAACCTTTGCTTTTATAACGAGTACACAGCCGATAGGAGACGGAACTCGACAGAGTGTTTCACGTGACGTAACACTTTCAGTTTAAAAGAACGTGTGTGTTTACGTGTGTATATTTGAAGGAATTACATAAACTCGGTCTGTAATTGATGGTTTGGTTTATAAATAGCTGCGGTTGACGGCCTTATCTGTTCTAGCGTAGACTTGACCCTTTAACTCCAAGGAATGACCAAGACAGAATTTCTTCTTACTATATCAATACCATATCAGCAGATAAGTGATGAGAATAAACGAAAATATCAGTAAGGGATTATTGGTTGATCCAGCAAAAAAATCTCCGAATTGACAACATAAGAATTGTATAACAGACAGTGAGAGGAACCACTGAGAGAAGATCTTCGGAGTCAAAGGGTGACGTTTTGCTTTCTTCCCTTCATTCAAAATTCAATGAATGGTAACATTACTTAATTATTCAATAACTTAATTCCATTATTAAAATTAAAAGTGAAAACAGAAAATATCAATAAATCTAGCTTTTTTTTGTTGTCCCTTTTCGAATTCGTTTAAATTAGTATAAACGCGACCTGAGAGACGCATTGTTAGTCTTGACACATTAAGTTCCTTTAATTGCCATGATCGAGCGTTCGAAACGTGCAGTTTTCAAGGAATGACGGGTGCTTCATCAGACGATGAATCCGCAGAGGTCTGTCTTGTCAACAAGGGCGTTGCCTCGGTACTGTTACCCTTTCCCTTCGTTGCGTTTTGACCGCGTTTGTTCCGCACGACGTCGACTGCACCTCTCACGGTGCTCTCCACGCTCTGCACTTGCAGCACGAGGTCGTCACGAACGTCTGTCACGTCCCACATAGAGACAAACGACGAACAGCACGGGAGAGGGGGTGAATTTGGATCCACGTACGGTTTGTGAGAGAAGGTGTAATAATGTGCGATGGCAAATATAAACATCTCAACGCAAATTATAAAATCCTATAAAAAAACAAAAGTAAAAAGGGAGTTTGCACCTGTAAGGTAGCTTACGTGATTGCCTAATTAGGTTAAAAAATTTTTGTCTTCAAACTGCCTGCAAAATTTTCATTATTAGGAGATAATGCATAATTCTCAGTGTTAGCCAAGTAATAAATTTGGGGTATTCGGTTAAGATAAGTTAGTTTTATGATGTTAGGAGTATAAAAGCAGAAAAAGGAAGGAACTGATAGTAGTGGCTAATAACATGTTCAGAGGAACCAGTCTTTGGATTTCAAAGCAGGACTTAACCAGGTAGAAGTATCCTGGGTGCTACAGAAGTTCTGGATCAATATCAGTATCTGGGCAACTGCCCACCTACCCCTCCCTAACCTCAACAATAGTCAATTGATAACAAGTTGAGGTTAATGTTGGGTTAGGGGAGGAGGTGGGCAGTTGCCCAGATACTGATATTGATCTGAAGTTCTTTTAAGTCATTTATGATTTTAGTCTGTAAACTCCTGCTTGCTATTTTGATGTGTCAGGGTTTAACCAGCTGGGCCACAGCCAAGGATTATGATGTACCATTAGGATGTACCATCTCTTCAAGAGAAAGGGGATAAGTAACAGGGACAATCAAAGATTGGTTTCATAAGAGGGAATCCATGTTGTGAACACCATCATAATACACTTGTAAATTGGTTGAATTTGGTCCTTCAACAAAAGCTTTTTTAAGGGAAGACTAATCATAGAGTCATAGAGACTAAGCTTCCACAGATTCAATTTTACTGTGTGTTTGTTCAGAAATATATCACAGGTGATGTGAAAATGTGGAAAGAACAAAAAACAGGCACACAAGGTGCAGCCAAGTGTTTCACTTATGTTCTAACCCTTTTTGATAACTTCTGTGATCTATTTCGTTGCAGACCCATGGCAACATGGAATCTCTTTGGTTTAATATCATGATAAAATTTTAAAAAATGCTGTTAATGCTGATGCCATCTATGCAAATGTCCTCAAATAGATCATGTGAAAAAGCCAATCAAAATATATGCATAACTCAGCTTGTCATATGATTCCAATTTTCAAAGGAACAGTCTATTTATGACAAGAAAGAGCACATGTAGTGCATGCCCTATCGCTAATCCCTAAGTGGCAATTCATTGACTCTTATACTTCATTTATTGAACCCTTCCTTACCTGAATGCCGCTGGCAACATCCTCCACTGTGTAAAAGACCCAAGTGTGTTTCTCTGATATCACCCCAACCTATAGATAAAACAGGTTCTGTTTTTTGGTAGGAAGGTAAAAAGGCAGCAGAGTGCAATAGGGAAATTTTCACTCTAGTGTTGAATCGGTTTAATGCATTGGCCTGTGATTGGTATAGGAAACTTGTGCCATCTGCCCAATCAATCAGATGCGAGACATAAATCAATCATCATTTGGTCTTTCACATTTTGGTGTAATAGACAATATTTACAAAAATAATTTTATAATTAGTTCCTTGTGATTTTTAGTATTATCTGATTGGCCATTGTGATAGACTTTGTTGCAATTTAATTCTAAACTAGACTCATAGACATGTCAAACCCATTTGTTTACCTACGAAACATTCTCAAGATTAGTTCAAATTTTTTTGAGGATCAGTTACCATCTCAAAGACAATTCTGCAAGGAACAATATCTTCTTTTTTTGAGGGGCATTCTGTTCTAACCATATCATGAATTAATAATAAGAACATTTTAATTTGTATTGAGGCATACCTTAACCAAAACAGCGATTAAGACACCCTGCCTAAGAATGAAAACCAATTTTAAAACACAAAATGTAGAATTCTAATGCAAATTTATAGTAAGGTCTAAAGGAACAGTGATTTTAAATCTATCTTCGTGAAATGTTTTCTTAGTGAGGGAGGCTAGGAGAAAATTTTTGTCTGTAGTAAAACACAAAATGGATGTTGGTATGACAACAGGGTAGGTAGTCTGGGTGTCACACAATGGGATCCCCCTTTAGAAATTTCTAGCTACAACCTTGATGTCTCCTGCATGGATACCAGTAAATAGAGAAAGCTACTTTTTCGCTTAATTATGATGTAACATGTTAAAAATCACTCACCAGAAAGATGCAAAAACCACAAGTTTTATACACAAAAATTTTCCAAAGGGTTTTATAGGTTTCAGCTCATCATGAGCTGCTTTGTAGAACAACACCAAACAATACATTGCCCACTGAAACAAAACAAAAAAAACACCAATTTTTGACTACCAAACAAGGCCTGGCCTAAGTATAATAAGCAAAGTTAGAGCCTTCCCAGAAATATATGCATACCACTTGTGAACAGTTGTTTATCACCACAATATAACTCCATGCAGATTTGAAGCTCAGATCTCCTTCATGGTATTTGTCAGCTAATTCTGTACAGCTGCCAAAAAAAAGGAAAAATGAAAGGGAAAAGTGAGTTTGAATGTAACTCAAAATACACTTTTGCAAACACAATAGCAAGTCAGTTGTGATACTTACAAAGCAATTGCAGTTGTCAGGATTCTAATAACTGTGTAAGATAAGGCACCTTGTTTACACCTATTAATCAATGTCCTTGGAAAAAGAAAAATTTGACTTGTTATTTCAGGTGAACTGCATCTGAAGAGAGTGCAGAAAAATAAGCCAAAGGAAATTCAGGCTTTGACAGGCTCAGTTCTACCAGTCAATTGCAGCAAAGCATGATGGTTCATAAGGTGATGCATATCCAATCTTTCTTATCACCTTAAGAAGACTGGCAGTATTCAGTCAATACAACAATCACTACAACATACAGAATTAAACTTTATCTAAAAAAAGTTATCATGACCTGTCTCATGATACAAAGAAACAATTTTGATTACGTGTTCCATGTGGTTAGGTACAGGAGTTTGATTAAATGAATAATCCAATTTTTATAAGAATAGAAATATTTTCCAGCAATCAATAATAACAAAATGCACTTTATAGGATTCAAGTATAGTTGCATTCAATAATTTGAGTTTCACAAGAAAAATCCAAGATTTTTCTCACCTGCCCATCTTCCATGGTGGCAAGATACAGCATGGAAAAAAATGATCTACTTGAGGTTTGCGGGATAGTCTCTCTTCAAAGTCATACTCAGTGTTGAGGTATGCCAACAAGAATGTCATAAAATTGTATATCACGTAAGCTTCATAGCATTCTCGCAGGGAATCCAGGTATATAGCTGCCTTTGGAAAACGAAGAGCTAGCCACTAAAATAAAAGATTGAGAAACACTAACTGTTATACTTTTTAAATCCCAGACATGATGTTGCCACTGGGAACTCATTGGCAAAGCATCCACCCAGACATAAGAAGGTCTGAGATTCAGTTCCCTGTCAAACCTTTTTTTTCGTTTATTATACTTTCTAACACAGATTATGAATGTTACACAGCAAATTAAAACTTTTACTTACACTATCTGTTGCATAAATTGGAACCATCCAAATAATTCTGTGAACAAACAAATTGAAAAATCATTTCTTGCATCAGTAAAGGTCTTACTCTGTTGGTAGTACTCTATACAAAGGGCTCCCTTTAAAACCCCTTGATTTCAGTTGAGTTCAGCCACCACATCTCCTATGGAAGGTCTCCAAAACTTTCAAAGGGAGGTCCTCATCATGCGAAGACAGATCACCATGGAGACCTTTCAGAGTTCATCACCATCCCTTAATTATGAAACCACCTAAGGCAGTTGTCACAAGTCTTAATACTGACCTCTGGACCTTCCCCCATGCAGTATACGATATTAGTATGATGCTGATTCTTGATTAAAGAAACTGAAGGTAAACATTCCCCCTTTTTCCACCTACCTTACAATTCGTCTCTGTAACTCTGGTTTGGTATAATTTACCATATGCTGGACAATTCCCCAGAGGGAGATGGGAATTGTCAAAAAAACAAAACATCCTGCGATAAACCAGGCTTGCACGTGAGTTTCAGCTCTGAATCTGTGCAATTCCCAAACAGTGAGGGGAAGTGCAACACATAGAACCACAAAATACAAAGAAATGACGACTGGTCGTAACCAGCTGCGGACATTTCCAGTTCCAACACACATTGAAAGCAAAGTACTTATGCCACGCAAAATCAATGCGCGTAATAAGTCAACGCGCGGAATAATTGTTCCTTAAATCATAGAGTTGGAAGGAAAATCAAGCCACAAATCGTTCGTTTCCTCTTGTTACTTTCACTTCGAAACGTTCCAGTCTTCAATTTCCCAATCAAAATAATATTGTTGTCGGAGCTTGTTTATTCGTTGAGGTTCGTGTTACAGTCGTGAACCGTTCGTAAAACTTCGTTTTCTCTTCGGTCAAGATGTTTTACTCAGCGGTATAACGCACAACTCTACGTGCGCAAAGTTCGACCTTTGGATTGTTGCGTGTTTCCTGTGTTGATAATCTTCATCGATGGACTTTCATATCACACTTTCCTTAACTTTGGTTCTCTACTATTGATCAACGCACACATGTGGAACAATCGTGTCTTGAGTCTTGGCAAAAGTGGGCACAGAGGTACAAAGTCGTTCGTTCGTTTTTTGCCACACTGCGCTTGATCTTATGGTGTTCGTCTTCTTGTCACTTCTTTTAGCCTTGCGACCAGTCTTACATAACAGACTTTGCTCAAGTGAAGCTGTACCCAAACTAACGACTCATTACACCGTCGTACCGCGAGAAACTGATCCAAGATGGAAAGGTAATGTTTTACTTTTCTTAATTTTCAAGTATTGCTTCACCAGGTGATTTTATTGCTTTACTCTGTGACATAGATTAACGCAGTACTGTGCTCCCACTATGTCAGACGCAACTGTATTTGATATTTTTGCAGAAGTAGACATGGAGAGATTTTCGGACGAAGCCGATGTAGTTATAGTTGGTGGAGGACCGGCAGGCTTATCAGCAGCAATCAGACTAAAGCAATTGGCTGAAGAAACAGGGAAAGAACTTAGAGTTTGTCTTGTCGAGAAAGCTGCCGAAATCGGTAGGATTTCCGCACTCTTTTTCTTGTTTCTGTCTTTGCTACGTTTGAATTGAGCATTACATTAATCGCACGCTTAATGGGATTGCTTAACCATTTAAAGTAACATTTTTCAGCCCTTTGAGCCACATTGAAGAGATGTGAGAAAAATAAATTTATATTTTGTTTTTTTGATCGGCCGACGTATGTTACTGAGACGGACGGGATTCTGGGACACCCCTCATTCACACCCCCTATCCACCCCTCCTAAGACAAGTGCAAATTTGCATTTTTCAGACACATACATATTGTAAGTAAACTCTGGTGCAGCTGTCATTCTCATCTCATTGGTAGAAAGGACAGCACGGTTAATCCACAATTTGTTCTTTAATTTTTTCACTTTATTGAGTTCACTTTTCATTAAAATCCCTTGTTTCAGGTGGGCACACTCTCTCTGGCGCCTGCCTGGAGCCAAGAGCACTTAATGAACTTATTCCTGACTGGAAAGACAAAGGGGTAAGTTAGCCCTTGTATTCCTAGGATCTGAACTAACCTGTAATTACTCTCTCTTGGTGCTACACTTTTCTATAAGAACCAAATGAAACAATTTTAAGTGTTTTGCGAAGAGAACTCCTCATTGATAACTTGGGGAAAAGATTTTTGTTTTAGTTCATAATATTCTTAAACAATGCTTTAGTCCAACTGTGATCAATTTCCTGGCCACTGTTTGCTTTAATCAAAGAACAGTGTATGTGGTGAATTTTGTGGTTATACAAAAATCTTGCCTCTTGGTTGTCATGTTGTCCTGATCTGTTTGATGCATGTGAATAAAGTTGGAAGGAGGAACTATTACCATCAGAGTAAGAAATTTCAGCAAACTTATTCCAATGTTCTGTTAATGTTAAAAAAAAATATCTGTTTTCCTTGAGATCTTCATTTGAATAATTTTTACCAAATTGCTCAAACTTCTTATGTCATCTATAGCAAAATGCTTAAGTTTGAAATTAAACCATATTTTAAGGAATAAGGATTTTTTTCTTTGCTTTGGTTTTTATTAAATTGCTTTCTGCTTTACTAGGCACCTCTCAATACACTGGTAAAGGAGGATAAATTTGCAATTCTCACAGAGACTGGAAGGATTCCTGTCCCCATACTGCCAGGTGAGATATGTACACAAGCAACTGGATCTAAAGTAGGAGTCACTATTAAGCAAGTGCTATCTAAAAACACTTTGTCAAGATCATGGGAGGATAGGTGTACTTTAAAGTAACAGTGGTGGCCATGATTACCAAACTTCAGCACACCCACAGTTACCTGTCAAAAGTACACTGGCATAATTGCATGTTGATTTTATATTTTTACCATAAAATGGAAGGGAGGGAAGGAAACAAAGTTTGTGAAGTAGCAAATGCAAATTGAGCACAAGGGCATGGTTTTGACACTGCAAACCTCCTAATAGGGACTCCTTCATTGGAAATCTCTTCTCTCTGTCTCTCTCTCTTTCTCTTCCCCCCTCCCCTCACAAAACGATACTATAAACAGTGTTTTGTAACCTGGAATAGCTTCATTAGATTTAAAAGAGATGATGACAATGATGTTTGATTATCTAGATTTTTGGTTCCTTATTTCATCAGGGCTGCCCATGTACAACCATGGTAACTACATTGTACGTCTTGGAAATGTTGTTCGTTGGCTGGGTGAGCAAGCTGAAGCATTAGGTGTGGAAATATACCCTGGATATGCAGCCAGTGAAGTGAGTTGTCACTCTTAGTAGGAATCTTGCCCAGAATTTGTAGAGTGGATGAGATGATAAATTTAACAACTTCTTCCTGATCAGTTTGATTGTTCTCATTACCTGTTTGTTGGATAACGTATGGATATTAAAGGGAGAAGTTACATGTTAATCACTTAAGAGAATTAAAGGGTCGAAGTCAACGTAACATGTATCAGAATGGTATGTTTTTATTTTTAGTTTTGAATTTGTCCTCATGACCCATTGCTAGGTGCTGTATCATGATGATGGCAGCATTAAGGGAATTGCTACAAATGATGTTGGTATCCAAAAAGATGGTGCTCCTAAGGTAAGCAGATGTTTCAACCTGCACGATGCACCATGAAAGAATGCTATCATAACAGTAGCTTACTTGTGTTTGATAGAAATGGTCTGTGTAAAAGGGAATTCTTAATGTAGTGGAACTGAGGATTAGCAAGGTTGAAAATAGAAAGATAAGGCTGAGTGGTCATTGTGGTCAGTATTCTGACTCAAGATCTTATTGAAAATTCTCCTAACTCTCTGTCGTACATTCACTATAAAGACTGTTTTGAGAATATGAGATCAATGTGAGAATTGATGATGGTGTATGCATTCAATCACAGCCAACATTTGAGCGAGGCATGGAACTTCATGCAAAAGTGACCATATTTGGTGAGGGATGTCATGGCTATCTGGCCAAGAACTTGTACAAGAAGTTCAACCTGCGAGAAAATTGTGATCCACAAACATATGCCATTGGGCTCAAAGAGGTAATTCTTGACTTGTAGTTTAAGTAATAAGTTGGTGTTCTTCATATTTCTTTATTGGTCTCTCAAGATTTTTGGGTGTATCCCTTTTAGCTCTGTATATTTGGACAAGGATTTCTGGCTGGTTGTAACCCTTAAGCTCTGATTCTAATTTTCCCTTTAACCGCTAGACATTTCCTTGTAAATTATTTACCAGAATTTGGTGTTAGATCTAGTTAGCAAGTTTCACCTGATAAGTTTAGGCATTCTTGTAACCCTTTCTCTGGCAAATGTATGGATATTGTAGGGAGAAGATACATGTATATCTCTTCAGGGAGTTAAAGTATTAACAATTATTTTCTTGCATGATCAAAACCATCAGTGCTGTGCTCTACCAGAAAGAAAGTGAAGCATCGAGTTGGTTATCCACTTAAAGCTTTAAACAGTACATGAGAGATCAAAATGAATTGTGAAAAGTTGATATCTGACAGTGTGATCACTAACCTTGCAACACTTTGCACCAGTGAAAGGCAAAGGGTGACTCCTAAAATTATTAGCTTCTTAAAATTTGCTGCAGTGGTTTATAAACCTCATTAACCTCAATTGAATAATCAAAGTAGTGATTTTAGTTCATTACATAGACCTAGAACTCATTTAAAAAGTGTTAGTTTTCAAAGAAACAGTGGTGCTATGTGGGGCTTGGTATTACCAGATGATTTGATATTATCAACTGAGTTGATAATGGACACAGGCCAATCGTAAAGAGTTTCAAGAGCTGAAGTTTTGAGTGGTAGCCCTTAGTCAAAGCCATAAGTTATATAGTATCTAATGCAAGGCTGTTTTTATGTAGCTTTGGGAAGTAGCTCCTGAGAAACACCATCCTGGAAGAGTAGAGCACACTGTTGGCTGGCCTCTGGTATGTTTTGATTGAAATTATCTGAATCGTGTGATGCACTCTTGAATGTGATCTTTAATAAAACTTAAAGACTCATGTTATCTCCAAGAGACTCCCTATGAGGATTTTTTTAATTTTTTCTCTAACAGGATAAAACTACATATGGAGGTTCATTTCTGTATCACCTTGATGAGGAAACACCTTTGGTTGCTGCTGGTTTTGTGGTAAGTGGATGACAAATGGACATCACAAGAAATTCAGCTTTCAGCAGTCCAGGCAATTGCAAATGGTGGCATTTTGTGTCTACCAGTATAGTAAATTTTTGGTTTTCAATGTTTTTATGACATGGTATCTTTTCTTCTGGTTTAGGTTGGATTGGATTACAGCAATCCCTATTTGTACCCATTCAAAGAATTTCAGGTAACTTGTGTCATACAAATTTTGTCTTTTACTTTTTAGCATGTACTCTAAATAAGGAAAGTTTGATTATTTTTGTCAGCACCTTAGGAAATGTCTAGAGAATAACACAGAGGATATAAAATACTGTAAGGAGTTAACCCTTTAACTCCCATGAGTGACCAAGACAGAATTTCTCCTTACTATATCTAAACAATATCATGTAGACAAGTGATGAGAATAAAGAAAAATACCAATTATGGGATTACTAGTTGATCTGATATTAAATTCTCCAAACTAACATAATGAGAATCATTTGGCAGACAGTAAGGAGAATTACTAATGAGATCTTGGGAGTTAAAGAAACAAACCAAGAACACATGTGAGTCTGGATGCTCAGTTCTGATGAAGTACATATACACACATGGTGAAAGCATGAATTAAAAAAATTTATGGCCTGGTGGAATTCTAAGTTTCATGCTAGTGTCTTTTACAGCTTTGTGCCCAGAGCAAAGGTCCTTCAGTTCTTGTCAAAGTGATCCTATTAATTGATTATGTGTTGCACTCTAGCGTTTCAAGCTTCATCCCTCAGTAAAGCCAACATTTGAAGGAGGCAAACGGATAGCCTACGGTGCAAGGGCACTCAACGAGGGTGGATATCAGGTTGGAACATTTTTATCAAACTCTTTAGGCCCTTTCCAATGACCTCCTATCTTGTGATTTCTTATTTATTCTATTTTCATTATTTAATCATTGTATTTTCAGTCTATACCCCAACTGGCCTTTCCTGGTGGTCTTCTTGTCGGCTGTAGTCCTGGATTCATGAATGTTCCAAAGATCAAGGGAACCCACACTGCAATGAAGTCTGGCATGCTTGCAGCAGAAAGTGTATTTGAAGCAATAACTGATGAAAATTTTCCCTGTGATACACAAGGTATTTGTACTGAATTCTCTTTCTTGAAAGTAAGTTAAATTTGATTGGGACAGTCTTAACGGTAATAAAAAATTGAATATTACACAGGGTGAAGAGTTGACTAAAAATTTATTTCATTAACGTTTTGCAGTATGGAAAAAAGCCGGTAAAAAGTTTTTGTCGATTAGAAAGTCATTTGTCCACGAGTAGTTTTGACCTGACAAGAAGCCTATCTCATGGGACAAAACGTTTTTTTACACTGGATCTCAAATGCCCTGTAAAAATGTCCAACCAGGTATTGAAACTTTTGCCAGTCAAAACCTGATTTTTAGCACAGTTGCGGGTGATCGCTCGCTATTTGCTGCCATGGCATACAATTTGTCACGTTAGGTTATTTTCTTATTGTCTTCACTGCTTTAACTGCTTTAACTCCCCTGAGGGTCTAAGGTAGGACTTCTCCTTACAATATCAAGCAGATTAGTGATAAAAATAAAGCAAAATATGCCTTGGGGGATCATTAACTAATCCAATACCGAAGTCTTCGAACTACCATCATTAGAATTGTATGGTTGACATGGAGGAATTTTGCTAATGAGATCATGAGAGTGAAAGAGTGAAGTCATTATTTGTAATTTAATTTTGATAACTCTTTATCTGTTTTAATCCCATTGTCGGGTTTTTAGTACCCCTTTTCACTGCAATCATTCAAAGTCACATCGTGTGTCTTTCCTTTTCTGTGTCAGGCCTGCTTGTGAATTCATACGAGTCACGGCTAAAGGAGAGCTGGATCTGGAAGGAACTTGAGAGCGTGCGCAACATAAGACCCTCTTTCCACAGCCCCTTGGGTCTATATGGCACCATGTTGTATACGGGTATTTTCTATTACATATTTCGCGGCAAGGAGCCATGGACACTGAAAAACGGCAAACCTGATGCGGAACACTTAAAACCCGCCAAAGAATGTAAAGCGATCGAGTACCCTAAACCCGACGGAGAAGTTACCTTTGATTTGCTGTCTTCTGTTGCTCTCAGCGGAACAAACCACGAGGGGGATCAACCGGCGCATTTAACCCTACGGAATGACTCCGTACCCGTCGATATAAACCTGGCGATTTACGACGGACCCGAGCAGAGATTTTGCCCCGCGGGGGTCTATGAATATGTCCCCAAGGAGGAGGGAGATGGAATGAGGTTGCAAATTAACGCCCAGAACTGTCTGCACTGCAAGACATGTGACATTAAAGATCCCAGACAGAATATCGACTGGGTAGTTCCCGAGGGGGGTGGGGGGCCGGCATACAATGGAATGTGATGGAAAATTACCGTTTGGTGAGGTACCGAAAAGAAAAACAATGATACTATCTTTAAGTTATTTTAAAGCGTCACAGCTTTCCGTGAAATTATTGGCGATAATCGAACTGTCGAGGGACAGGTATTCGGTAAGGTCTCGCAATATTATTCATGTCAAAGCAAATTCTCAAAAGCGCTGAACTTCATGTGTTTCGAATCGCTGTTTTTAACTATCTCGCATTAAAATTTTTTTCACATTTTGTTTCTTTACAAAGTAATTCACTTCTGTCACGGGAAATACTGTATGTTTTATAAAACCGAAGATATTTAAAATCGACAAGCGCATGATGAATTGTACATGAATTCTCGTTCCCTAAGGCCGCGTTGCCCTCATCCACCGGAAAAAGAATGGGATAGAGGTTTGCGCTTCATGCTACATTCTTTTATGCAGAAAAAAATTAGATCACAAGGAAATAAACAGCCTATTTCAATGCTGTCGCTGTTCAAAGTTTCATTAACATTGTTAATTTAGCAAATGTCTATTTCAAGCGGTGTGAACTCTGATTATAATTAAAATTCGCCAGATTCTTTTTTTTCGATAGACTCGATGTACCGAGCAATAAATAAATTGAATCCTTCTGTCCTGGTTTAATTCTAAACCAATTGTCCGAGGGTCACATTTCCCAAGGCTTTCATGTCTCGTTATGCACTGTGCACTGATAACTAGGCGCATTTGAAGAGCGACTTGTGTGTTTAAGTGGTCTTGCTTCACCCAGCTGAGTGAATCATGCCACCCTCTTCACCGATCAGATCAAATCTACAACCAAGAGAAATTATCCACTCGCGTTTTCTCACGCTTTAGGCAACTCACTTGTTTTCATTATGAGTTCTCATCGGCTCCTTCAGACTCTTTCCTATCTTACTGGCTGTTGTGTTTACTTTGCGTTTGGGCTAAAGACACTCGACTGAATATAACTTGACTCCTTCCACCGAGGCTTCTCGTGTCTCTTATCTGAGACTAGAGACTGAGTCTCTCTGGAAAGCACACTTGATCCCGTGTATATAATTTTAGACGACATCTTTCAATCTCTTTCTATCTTTCGTGTCCAGTCGTAAGGTTTCCACCAGTCTGCAAATTGCAGCACCTTTCTCTTGTGATGCTCAAAGTTCTCACGCCGCGGATTTCTCCATCTCTGCGGCTCAAGGTCGAGCATACCCCCGATAATTTCTTTGCCGAAATATAAAGGAAACAGCGCTTCGTCCTCGATGACATGTGCAAATCCCCCATCCAGTCCGAACTCGACGCTGAAATATGGAAGACCCTTAGGAATTGATACACGCAGTCCTTTCTTCCTTGTGTCCACCAATTTCACGTTTTGTGCCCATTCTGTGTCCGATTCCAAAATGGCTTTCTGTTTGAAGGAAAACAAATGAGATTTATTAGAAATTAACGACGTAAACCTAACACACACACACACACACACGCAATCTATTTGTGGCAATTATGTGCCAAGACTCTTTTACTTGCCAGAACGGCTGGTTTTCAAAGCGACTTCGGGTTCATAATCGTGAGGTAAATCACGAAGCGAAGCATGGCACAGCGGTCAAACATTGGACATGCAAAAGTGGGCCAGTTTCTGGAGTCCACTAGCCAATTTGTTATAACATTGGAGCCCTGTCCATGGAGAGCCATGACTACTTCCGTCGCTTGTTGCAGTTTCGAAACGGTTCGAGCTTCAAAGAAATACGCTTGCTCTCTTAGATTCCTTGATTCCACGTAAGCATTTAAACTTTAAAGTTATTTTTAAACATTGAAGATCAATATTTGAAAAATGGAAGATTTTGTGAATGATTTCCAAAGCGCAGTCGAAAGTCTTTTGTAGAATTGGACAGGTTCTTTTAATCATTAGGCTTAGGGTCCCACCTTAAAATAAACGGGAGACATATCTCCAACTTCTTTGGGGAGAGGAATGCATTCGATAATCATGTGATGCTGTTTCCGCAACTGTTTGTGGGTTTCTATAAAAACCACGTCCTCCTCCTGTGTAAAATAAGATTGACTATTCAACTTCTCCCAACTCAAAGTCAGGCACACAATTGAGGAGAATAAAACATTTCTTCAGTAATCGGTGATAATCAGGGAGCTTGGGCACAGCGTTTTCACGACGTACAGGCTGCCGGAAGTCGAGAATACTTTTCCTTTGCCCATGCCGCAGATTTTTTTGTCCTGAAAACTTTCGTTCAGAAGGCTTAATCGATAGCTTTCCAATTGATTGACAAATGTCAAAGATCACTAGAAGCAGTTGCATTCTCCTTATCCGGGTTTGACCCCTTCCTTCTCAACAGTGACCGAAAAAGCAATTTCTCCTTCTAGGTCTCTTTTGAGATTTGGCTCATGAACTATTACAGCATCAACACAGTATGAACCAAAAAGGTGATGAGAAGAAATAAATTTATCTACAATAGGAAATTGTTTGATTTAGAATCAAATTCTTAACGTTTAAGTGATAGAAAATGTATAGAGGACAGAAAGGAGAATTGATATCGAGATCTCAGGAGTTCAAGGCTTAGTTACAGTGTGGATAGCTTAACGTTTTCTTACCTTTTCTTCAAACATTCTCGTGAGGCCTTTTTTGTAAATCTGTGTGGAGATAGCAAAAGCGTTGAATACCAAAAATAAACCGATAATGCCCATCTGGGAAAAGTTTAAAAATTCTAAATATCCCAATAAATTCGAGCGTTTCAAAACCAAACCTGAATTTCACTCCAAACGTCTTCGTCCAGCATGGTAGCTGCAGAGCAGTGCTGCATTGGAATGATGAGACAATGACCTTCTGTGAGAGACTCGTGCAGAGGAAGCGCCAGGTAAACCTAGAAAAATACACACTTTCTTGTAGACATCATGAAAAGTGGACTCCGTTACTAACTGCTGTTCGAGAAATGAGCCGGCACTCACCCTACCCCCCCCCCCCCGTCACGGGGGGAGGGGGATGAAAGACCGGACTCAAGAAACCGACGGAAATCGAGTCTACATAAAGAGAAGTAAGATTCTTAACAATCTCTTATGCGGTAGGCGAGGTGGACTAACAGTTCGCACGATGGACTCCAGGTCGGTTCCTTCACAGTTATCCATTTTGTTTTGGCCCATCATAAAATATCAAAGATTGTCTCTGATTCTAAAACATTTCTCACAGTAGCTACTTACTGCTAACCTGCACAGGCACATTACGCCCTACCTTAACTCTCTGAACCCTAAGAGTGACCAGCGCCTACTTTCTCCTCACAGTAATACTGCTGAGTCATTCATTACGATCATGAGAATAAAGAAAACGATCACCCACCTAAGAAGCTCTGATTATTAACCCAATTCTCCTTGGTAGTAATAAAGGAAACGTATAGAGAAGAGCAAGGAGAATATGGATACTGATGTTAGGGTGTACAGGGATAAGCCTAAAATAACACACAGCTCACCCCACCTTGAGTCCTATGGCAATAATGAGATGTTTGGCGATGTCAGGGTTCTCAAAACAGAAGCGACATCGTGCAAGTTGAGCAGCCAACTGTCTATGTTCTGGATGAAATGATAAACAGCAAAACACATCGAATTCATTTTCATCATTAATGGGAGACACGGTGGGTTGATGATCATTGCGCTGGTCTGCGGGTCGAGAGGTCTGGGTTCAAGACCAGGCTGGGTCACTGAGTTGTGTTTTTGGGAAAAACACTTTACTCTCACCATGCCTCTCTCCACCCAGGAGAATCCGG